GAGCCACGGCTCAGAGGAGGCGGCCTTCCACACCGTCTTCCTCCAGCCACGCGAAGCCAGAGACTGCAGGGGACCAGTGAGTGCGGAGGGCGAGCAGGAGGAGTCGCATCCAAGCAGGTGCGCAATTCATCGCGCTTCCTCGCCAGTCCACACACGCAGAGCACCAGGCATAGCCGGCGGCCCCACCCCGCAGGGCGTCCCTCACATCTGTCCCGAGTTACGTCCCTGAGCAGTGGGAAGCCCTCTGCAAGGTCGGCGGCCACAGACTGAGAGCAGAGACCCTGGGGAACAGCCTGACGGGTGGCTGGAGCAAAACGCCCTTTTCTGCTGACCTCAGAATCCGTGCTCCTAGGGGACAAGCTCTTCTGTGCGATCCAGTCCAGATCTCTTCGCTTGTCTGACGTCAGCAAGTCAGGCTACTGCTCAGCCTTTTATGATTCCCTGAAATACCTTGGGATCTTTCCTTGTTCAGAGAATGACACTCAGTTTGTCTGCCACCTCGTTTACCTCAGGGAGTCCCCTCTGTTTCACTCAGTCCGGGCATTGGTCACAGTTGTTGTGACGGGCCTTTGGTCAAGGGCCTTTGCACTGAGCTGCATCCCCAGGACTTTTTCATTTTTTATTTTGAGTCAGGGTCTTGCAGAGTTGCTAAATTGCCTTGTGATCCTCCTGCCTCAACCTCCCAAAGCACTGAGATTAGTGTGTGCACCACCACACTTGGCTCAATCACAATTTTCCTGTTAGGCAAAGAAAGGGCCAGAACTCTTTGGAACCGTCTAGCAATTTTTCTTTTATTTTAAATAAATTGAGGTCAGCACATAACTGACACAAGCAAGCTCAGGTGACTGCTCAGGGGCTACCACCTGGGTGGGGGCAGGATGCTCAGGAAGGGACAACTCCCAGCAGAGGATTCTGGGATCTGTGTGTGTATCTGTGTGTGGCGGGGGGGTCCTTAAACAATTATACCTTCCTCTCCCCTAGATCAGGGTCCACAAACTTTGTAGCCAATGGGCCCCATCCAACTTGAATGCTTTGCCTGAATGCAGCCTGGCTCAGTATGGCTGCTCTGAAGGGGCAGAGCTGAGTGGAGCTGAGAGAGCGTAGAGCCTGATAACAACACGGCCTGCAAGAGAAAAGGTCTGCCATGCCTTGCCCCGGACACTTCTTGGGAATCAGTACAGAGAGAGCCGCCATTACTAAATAATGTGTCCTTTTGAACTCAGTTTTTAAGGAAACTTCTAGAAATACCACTAAGTATGTCTACTTAGTAATCACTGGTCAAATTAGCTACCTTGCTGCAGTGGGGGTTCAGAAGGATAGTCTTTATGTGGGTAGAAAGTTGCTCAGCTAAAACGCTGAGTTATTTTATTTTATAACTGAGTGCTGGTAGTGTATACTACTGACATCCAGTTTTTTGTTTGTTTGTTTGTTTTTGGCACCAGGGATCAAACTTGGATCCTTGTGCTTGCCAGGCAGGCAGTGGAACCACTGAGCTAAATCCCCGGCCCATAGTGTATACTATTGAAAGACAATAAGCAACCTCTCCCATGGGAAGCTTACTGTAGGCACCAAGCCCCCTATTAAGACAGATGCATGACCCAGCCGGGCAGGATAATCATTTGGCACGGCTCCAAAATGAGAGCCTTTGAAATCTGTAAAATGACTATTTAACGGGTGCTGAGATCAATGCCAACAAGAGGTGATTTTGGGCTGATTATTTTCAAATTGTCACCCTAAGTACTATCTCCTTCAGAAGGTCACCAATCGGCATGGAGCTGTATGAGCAGACTTGCATGAATGGAGTATTTCTAATGCACTCCAGCGAGAGTTTCCCTGTCTATTTGTTGTTTTATTTTTTACTTTTATGGACTCTCTAACTGTTTGCTCTGCCTGGGTTCACAGCCCCCCAACACCACTCCCACGCCGAGCTCTCTACTTACCGAGGCACTCAGCATTTGCCTTCACAGCTGCATCGCCCATGGCAGCAGAGTCTTGGCATCCACTCTGCCCCAGCCACATTGACCCCAACAGCCAGCTCCACGGGGACTTCCCTCCACACCCTCCAAAGGGCTGTGGAGCCAGAGATCAAGGATGTGCTCTGTATGGTTTTTTTGTGTGCTTTTTTTTGGTACCGGGGATCGAACTCGGGACCTTGAGCTTGCGAGGCAGGCACCGGAACCACTGGGCTAAATCCCCGGCCCCAAGAATGTGCTCTGAATCCTTGCTTCTACTAACAAGGGTGGAGAAAATGACAAGTCCTAGGCCTCTGGCATCTTGGTGAGTACTCAGCAATTAGTTTTGTTCCAATCTTTTTCCTCCTCTATGAAAATTAAAGTTAGACTTTAGTATCCTCGTGGGAACTCCCGGAAATGTCCAGGGTTGGACTGGCACTTCACAGTATCAGCAGCCAGGCTACCCCTTATGTTCCACTTCCTATGGCATCAGGATATAGAGCCCATGTGCAAGTTCCTAAATATATTTAAAGGCTGCCCAAAGCAACTGAAAGAAAGGAGTGGCCAAGTGGGAGAAAGTGAAGGGGGAAACAGCGGCGCTTTCAGCAAAACACACTGCTTCCGGAGTCGGAAGTTACGGCATGAAGTACAAAGACAGCCCTCTTCTAAGTGCTGACACTGAGAGAATAAGGAAAAATCCTTGTTTCTTAGCAAGTGCAGATGTGGGGCAGGAGGCAGACCCCCACAAAGAATCAAAAAGATGGGCCAAATTTAAGGACTTATTTTCTTGGCAGTAGAGAAAAGGAGAGCCATAAGGCTACAAAAACAAGCTGGCTATTGCAGGGCCCCAGACCCTCCCTGCCATGCCAACCCCAGCCTCACCTCCAAACCTTGGGCCCAGGGTGGGTCCACGAAACCCAGAGCATTCAACATGGGCATCAGAAAGGCAGTCACACATCTAAGACTTATCTATCAATTAAGAATCAAGGAAAAAGTGAGGAGTGGTAGAAAACTTACTACTATGAAAGTTGTGGAAAAATGCTACCATTGGAGCACATGAAATTTTAGCTAAATATTTTGCAATAAATTTTAAAGCTAAGGGAAACAATTTCTTGATGAAGGAAGATCAAAAACCAGAAATAACTCAGAGAAAAGATGGCAAGAAAATAGGAGGAGCTGGAATGTGAGCGTGCAGAACTTAGAAAAGCAGGAAAAAACAGTGTCTGAAGAGGAATGGAGAACCAGGAGAAAATGCAAGAGACAGAAAAGCTAACAGGGAGGAAAGCACATCAACTGGAGTAAAAATAAAGAGATTTAAAACTTTAGAGAGCAGTCATAGGTACAGAGTCAGACAAAGATTACTGGGATCCCCAAAGGATGAAATGGACCAGAATACACTCTTAAAATAGGATTCGAGAAAACTTTCCCAAAACAATGCAGAATCAAATCTGATTTGTGAGAGACAGCAATATGGCAAGGGGAACAGATCAACATTGAAGAGTATCCTGATAAAGTTATTCAACTTTAAAGATGAGAAAAGAGTCTTTCAGGATGAAAAGTAAAAAGATCAAGCCTGTGAAACATGTTTGGAAGGTGACTGGATTAGGAGCCTTACAGCTGGCTTGCTGGTAGGAGGTGGGGCCTGGACGGAAGAGGAGAGTCAACTGTGGCTGTGACCCGGAAGGGTTTATCTCCCTCCCTGTCTCCTCCTTTACTCTCTCTGCTTCTTGGCCACCCTGAGGTGAGCAGCTTTCCTGCCCTGCAGCCAGCCGACCATGGACTGAAAATGTGGCCAAAATAAACCCCTCCTCCTTTAAGTTGTGGGTGTCAGGTACTTTTGTCCCAGTGAAGAGAAAGTGACTAAGATGGGATATTATTTCCACAAGTCGTTGAGCAAAGTTCTAGATGATATTCAGCCACCTAGGTAAGTGAGAAAACTGAGGCAAGGACCTGGCAGTGGACCCTAAACATCTTTATCTAAGGAAAGAATTAATAAAACAAAGAAGCAGGACAGGATTGAATATGGAAGCCCATACTGTATCCCAGACATGTAGATGCCCTGGCCATGTAGATAGGACACAGTGTCAAGTCAGGAGGCCAGAGGAGAATGAAGATGAGAGCGAGACAAGATGTGGTGACTGCTCTTCTCCTTCCCTAACAGTGCGGAGCTACACAGCTCATTTAAAGGGCATAAGTTAGAGGGGTAACTGGATTACTTCCCGGATATCCAACTGCAGTCTGGACAAATCCCAGATGCCAGACCTTGCATGTTCTGGCCCTGCCTGACCCTGCAGACAAATCTCTCCCAAACAGTCATCTCTTTCCTCCCACCTCCCTCACTCCTTGAGCCATGTCACTGCCACCTGTGCCCATATTTGCATGTGCGATTGTCCCCCAAGATTCATATCTGCTTTCTGCAATGTTTTTTCACAGCCCGTCGTGCTTCTGCCCTCCATTTCAGTGCTCCAAAGAGGCCTGCCCTGACTCCCAACGGAAGTGAGTTCTTGGTTACAGCCAATCCATTTCCCCTCATAATACGCATGTAATGATTTATTTAATATCTGCCTCTCCCGTGAGACTGTGAGCTCCAAGAAGGCAGAGTGAAGTCCACTAGGAGCCCACTGAAGTTCTGAGACCGAACACAGATCTTGGCGTGTGGGAAGTGCTTAATGAATGTGTATTGCGAGACGAACAAAACAGCATTTCCTCCACAAACCACGCTTTCTCTGTCTCATCTCCTTTGTACCCACAATGCAATCGGTAAGATATCACTTCCTAAGGCAGTAATGAAAAATGGAAAGATCTTTAAAACATTCAGTTTCATACAGTTCCTTTACTAAGAAGGCAGGAAAGAATAAAAATGCACATTAGAAAGATTTTCAGAGAGCACTGATTAAGAGTTTTCTCACAAGCCATCCATTCATTATACATTTAGAAGCCATGCTATCTCAGGTGCAATGGGTTGCAGCCTAGTTCTACTATATGTTTCCAAATGCTATTTGTCACACAGCAATAGCAGAGGACAAAATCAGAAAGCTCTTCACTTACTTGGGATGTTCAAACTTGTCTATGAGATCAACCTTCTCTACCAGGTCTCCTCCGATGTTTCGGACTAAGTCATAGAAATCAATCTCTGCGTAATTCTCAGAGGGCAACCAGAAGGAAATGTCATTTGTCATCGCAGGATATTTGCTAAGAGGCTAACAGCACAAGAGAAGAGAGAAATAGGATGCATTTTTTAGTTGGATGAGAATTAATTTTTCATAGAAAGTTTAACTTGGTTAATTAGGAAATGCCGGCAAAACATTATTTTAGCATTTTAATTTTCAGGAACGAAATGAACTTAAAAGATAAATCAATATTCAAAATTAGCAAATTTCATTCCAAATGCTACACATTTCTTACAACATTCATGTATAACATTACCATATATTATATTTATGCTGCAATTAATGCCCAATCTAGTATACAGCAATTTGAATACATCATATTTTGTTTTTTCCCATTTGAATACTAGAGGAGAAAAGTTCAAATTTAATTAATATGCAATTCATTAACTTCTTGAGATACTTTCAGGAAGCTATCTTAATAGAGAAATAAGTAAGGGCTTGTCAAAACTGGTATTTCAATTAGTAATGTCATTATTTGCTAGTATTTCTAATTATTAAAATAAAGGACTATATTGATATCAGTCACTTATTTTTCAAATTATGCCTTTAAAGATGTGATAAACATGAACATAACCACTTTCCCCATTTTATCTCACTTTTTCCTGGTTTATTAGCTCATTAGTTCATCATTATATTGGATAGATATTTAAAATCAGATATGTTTAGGGCCGCGGATTTAGCTCAGTGGTTCCGCTGCCTGCCTCATAAGCGCAAGGACTTGAGTTTGATCCCCAGTACCAAACAAACAAACAAAAATAAATAAATAAAATAAAATAAAATCAGATATGTTTAGAAGTTACCACATTTGTATACATCCCTATGCATATGCATATCATGACTATATATATATATAAAATGACAATATTATATCCATATATATGAATATATATGAATATAAATATACATTCATATTATGGTTTACATCTAAAATGTCCCCAAAAGTCTCATGTGTCACAGGTGAGACTTTTAGCAAGGTGATTGGTCATGGGTGCGCTACATTATTACTGGATTAGTCATTTGATGAGTTCATAGGTGAATATGAAGGTAGGGCTTGAATGGAGGAAGAGGTAGGCACTGGTGTCACCCTCCCTCCCCCATCTCTCTAGCTCTTCTGACTCTGTTTCCTGGTTGCCATGGATTGAGCAGCTGACCTCTGCCAGGCCCTTCTGCCATGGCATTTCTGACTTAGAGCCAGTTGACCATGGACTGAGCCCTCTTGAAACCATGAGCCAAATACACCTCTGCTCCTTTAAGTTGTGTATATCACATATTTTGTCCTTGTGATGAAAAAGCTGACCAATAAATATGCAAAAAGCCTTCATCTATAGAGTATTGCCACAAGATAAAATGTGCTATTACATAACTTTGAAATATGAGAAGTGTTTCCGTATCCTCTATTCTGTTCCATTGATTCATATGTCTGGTTTTGTGCCAGTACCATGCCATTTTTATCACTGTTGCTTTGTTGTATAACTTGGAAGTCAAGTATTGTGATGCCTCCTGCTTTGCTCTTGTTGCCCGCAACTGCTTTTGCTAGTCTGTGTCTCTTCTGGTTCCATATGAATTTTAGGAATGTTTTCTCTAGTTTTATGAAGAAGGCTGTTAGTATTTTGATTGGGATTCCACTGAATCTGTATAACAGCTATAGGAGTACACCCAATTTAATAATACTGGTTCTGCCTGTCCAGGAGTAGGGGACATCTTTCCATTTTCTGATGTCCTCTTCAATCTCCTTTTTCAGAATACTTTAGTTTTTGTTGCAGAGATCTTTCACTTCCTTGGTTAGGTTAATTCCTAGGTATTTAATTTTTCTTGATATTAATCTGAATAGTATTGTTTTCACAATGTTTTTCTCACTGAGTCCATATTGGTGTACACAAATACTATTGATTTTTGCAGGTTTTTGTATCCTACCACATTGTTGAAATTGATTATTAATTCCAAGTGTTTTTTGGTGGAAATCTTTGGGTTTTCTCTGTGGAGTATCACCTCATCTGCAAATAATGATAATTTGGGGCTGGGGATTTAGCTCATTGGTTCCGGTGCCTGCCTTGCAAGTGCAAGGTCCTGGTACCAAAAAATAATAATAATAATAATGATACTTTGGATTCTTCCTTTCCTATATGTATCCCTTTTATTTCCTTCTCTTGCCTGATTGCTCTGGATAATAGTTCAAGTACTATATTGAATAGAAGTGGTAAAAGAGAAAAAAAGAAGTGGTGATAGCGGGCATTCTTCTCTTGTTCCTGATTTTAGAGGGAAAGCATTCAGTTTTAATATGATGTTAGCTGTTGGTTTGTTATAATTTTTATCAAATTCAGGTACGGTCCTTGTATACCTATTTTCTTCAGGAGAAGTGTTGGATTTTGTCAAAAGCCCTCTTTCCACATGCATTGATTTGATTTTGTGGGCCCATAAACCACTATGGAAATCAGTATAGAAATTTCCCAAAAGTCTCCAATTAGAAATTCCAAATGATTCAGCTATTCCCCTTTTAGGTATCTTCCCAAAAGAGCTAAAGACATCATATTACAGCAATACATAAGCAGCCTGTGTGGCCTTCAACAGACAAACAGATAAAGAAAATGTGGTATCTCTATATAATGGAATACTACTCAGCTATAAACAAAGATAAATTTGAAGCATTTGTAGGAAAATGGATGCCAGAAAATGTAATGTTGAGTGAAACACATCGGACACATAAGCTTAAATGCCATATGCCATGTGTCATTTGAGTAAGGCAAAGTACAAACAAAGAGTAAAATAAAAGATGGATAGAAGGAAACAAGGAGATAGTTCTCTTGCAAATGGAAAGGGGTCCAGAGACTGAGGGCCAGGGAAGAAGGAGAGGGGAAGCATGAAGACTTAAGATATGCCATGTGCAGGTACCAAACACCCACAATGAATGTAAACATTATATGTCATGGGCCAAGAAGAATAATAACAAGAATAAACATGAAGAAAGGGGATTTAGATGGAGGGAGGTGAGTGGGAAGAAGATTTAAAAAAGAAACAAGCTGCATTATGTACATGTACCTACTCCCCAAAATAAGTGCAGATATCATGTACTGTGAACCTGCACTAATAGAGTTAAAACAGTAAGATAAAGATAACCTATTCTCACCACTGCTCTGTCATGAGACAGATCTAACCAAGTAAAAGCTATGAATTAAATGATTGGAATAAAATAGGCAAAAATTTATGATTTGAAATTTGACTTTTAGAGTGGCTTTGACATGCAGACTGATACTAAATACTCTGGTCACGCTTTCCTCTCATCCTTACGCTTGTTGCACTGTGGCTACAAGTACTTCTCCTGTGACACAGCGTCCGCATTTTACTAGTTGGGGCTAACCCTGGAGACCTGCAATGTCTTCCCCTTTGCCCTTCAGGAAACCCCACCTGTACAATGACTAACACTTCTATCCCGGAGAGCTGTCCTCCTTGCTTGGTGCGGGGCGGAGAGAAGATGGTAGTGTGCGCTTTCCGGGTCCGGGCCCACCCCAACCTGCCACTGTGGTTCCCGCTACTCTGGGTTCCATGACGACGCAGGCTATGCTCTCGGCGGAAGTCTAGCTCATGTGCGCACCGGCACCCTCTAGGAGGCACCCACTGAACTCAGCTTGACCTGACCACAGGAAGGTGCCCAGGCCCACACCTCCCAAGTTTTCCAACAGTTTGGATTTTACCATACAGTAATCCTTGTGTTTTCAAAAAGGGCAATGCTCCACGTCTCGTGGGCCCCATGATTTGGTTTTTGCAGATGTTATTTCTTTTTCCTTTTGCTGAAAGGGTAAGGATTCTTCAAAACTTGCTTCTCGCTAAGTTTTCCTCCGTGTCCTTTGAATCCCTCACTATGCCCCCTTTCCATCCTTTAAGGGGCTCACTGCACCATTCACACCCAGCCCCTGGACTTGCACTTGGGCAACGTGGGGCCTGAAGCAGCAGAGACAAGGTATAAAGAGGTGAGGACAACCCTGAAGCCTCTGTGTCCTCCCCAGTTAACTTCGTCATTATCACTCACTTCTTGTTTGATTAATTTACCTGTGCTCTTTTTCTCTTATTTGTGTGAAAGATTAACTCAAATCTTTGCAGGCTTTCTTGCTTTTAAAATAAAAGCATGTAAGGCAACAGATGTCTCCCTAAACACCTTTCAGATGTATCTCACAGGTTTAATGTGCAGTATTTCATTGTTCAATTTCAAATATATTTCCTATTGCTACTTTTTATTTGACAATGAATTTTTTAGTTTTGAAACACGTGAGTTTTGTGGCTTATAAAATATGTTTTTATTTCCAGTTTCAAAGTTAATTGCAGCGACATCAGAAATAGTCACTCCTGGCTTTGTTGAAACTTGCTTTGTTACATAGAATATGGTCACTTTTGCAAATTCTTTCAGAGTGCTGTGAAAGTTGTATGTGCTCTCATTTTGGTGTGCAATCCTATACACACACACACACATACACACACACACATACACACCACACTTCTCCACTTAAGAAAAGGTATCAAGTGCTGGAGGAATGGGGTTGGAGTAGTGTAGTTCAGTGGTAGAGTGTGTGCTTAGCATGCATGAGGCTCTGAGTTCAAACTCCAGTAAAACAGAGACACACACACATGCACACACACATGCACAAATCTTCTGTATCTTTTCTAATAGTCTATTTGCTTGCTCTTCCTGACCTATCAGTTTCTAATAAAAATAATAAAAATCTCCTACTACTGTCACTTTATAAATTTCTCCCAGTGACTCTGTTTTATTTCACTTTTTTTTTGTCCCAGTATCAGGGATCAAACTCAGGACCTTCCACTTGCAAGGCAGACACAGTGCCCCTGAGCCAAATCCCCGGCCCTTATTTCACTTATTTTGAAGCTAAACAAGTTTATTAGATCTTTTTGGTAAATTTTACCTGTTAGTTGAATTTATGTACTTTCTAATCTCTGTTAATGGTTTTTACCTAAAATTAGAATTTCTTATTTCTCCTTTTGGTTAAGTACTTGCTTGGTACATTTTTTCCAATTATTTATTT